TAAACTTTGCGTCACCCTACAAATATATTAAAATGCCAATTTATAAAAAGAAATTGTTTCGCTACAGTTGAAACCTACATAAATTTTAACGTGAATCAGTCGCGTCAAACGAAGTTCGTCAAAATTAAAATAACAAAAAATCTATTGTGTGTTTTAGTCGTGGTGTGAGCATGCGAAAATCATTCTGACAGAATAATCACCATTATCTGCTTTAATTTGTGATGTTTTATGCTACTAATGTTATCATTTTGATTCACTGAGCTTCAGTGTGGTTATAGGTATCCGAAAATGAAACTGTTAAAATAGGAATATTGGAACACGTGTACACACAATGGTGGCACATTCATCGTATAATTTCTATCACTAATTGAATTAATATTTCACAGTGCAGTTAACAACAGAAACTAAAGTGAAACAAGTTTCCAGTAGAACGTTCCTGTTGTATGAAGAATGAATCAGTACCATTGTTTGATAAACTATGACATGACTGTGGTTGCTATAAACAGTTGATGAAAATCTATAAAATTATATATAGTACATATGTAAAAATAGGGACAAAAAATTAGTTTTAATTACAAGTGTCGGCGAATGCGTATAATGTATTAAACACGAATTACCAGCTGCATTTTATGTGATAGTTACTAGTGCTTACGCTATTCTTACAAAATTACAAAGTAAGTTTAAACTGATTTTCATTTGTGGATGAACACTACAACGAACTAAAGAATTCTCTGCCCGGAAGTTAAAATTTGGCAACTAAATCAATATAGCTTCTATGTATTTTTAAAATTTATTTTTATCTAAATTATTTGAGGAGCAACTAGAGAAATTAATTAAAATTAAACTTAAGATTCTTTAAATTTCGTAGCAAATATTTTTAGTGGTCAAAGAATTTAATTTTGCAACTTAGATCGTTAAACATAATGTTACTTTTGTGTATCGTTCAAAAAAAAAAGTATAAAATTGTTTAGACAGTTCCCCGCCCTCTGAAGCACGACCAATGCCTTGTTAGAATGTATTTTCGAATAGTTATTTAATAATTTGTGATAAGGATGTTAATAACATTAACAAAAACATATTAATTTTAATATATATACAGTACAATGCTATCAACATGATTTTGCCGTAGAAATTTGATGGAATTAAATGAATTGTTTATAAAATAATAGAAAAAAAAATTGGAGACACGGCATCAACTCCAGAATCTTTTTGTACATGCATTTCACAGATATCTGTTCAGTGGTTTTCTAAAAAAAATTCTGTCTGTGTTTTTAGGTATTTTAATAAACACTTAATGTCCGTTTGTCTATCTGTTACAAATTATTAAACACCAAAAACGTGTTCACAATATCTCAAAGTAGTATTCAATAAATCGCACTGTAAAGGTGCAGCGTGATTTATAGTTTAATCATTCATATCTGTTTGTTAAGGGTACACGTTCATAAAAAATATTTGTATAATCAAATTTGAGAAGTTACACCTCGGATTTCTTTGAAATTCTAGTAAGATAACGAAGTGTACCGTGTGATAAAATTTTGTTCAAAACGCTGTTTTATATATAAGAAAAAATGCTTGTATTAATACAGCACAACGCACTTTCATGGACATTTAATTTTTTTTTTTTTGTTAAATTTCCCTACTAAACTTACGTAGTTCGAACTGTCTCTAATCCGTAAATAAAGCGAGTAAATTTTATTAGCTTGAAAAATGCTTTGTTATTGTAACACACACGATCAATAAATTCCGTATCTACTTTTTTATGTTTACTTATGTACCCACCCTTGTGTAGTAACAGTGAAAGCATCGCAATACTGAAAAAACTAATCCCGTAATTCATTCGTCCTCATTCCGCAATTTTTACTTTGGTAAATGTTAAGAGTACGTGCATGGGGTCACGTTAGGTCATACTCTTTAAATTTGCTACCGCTTTAAATTAGAAGGCATTATTAATCAATAATTTTGAGTTTCAAATGTGTATGTAGTCTGAGCGAACAAAGCTAGTCGTTAGTGTTTGTTTGGTTGCCTAAATTCACTAACAGCGTTACCTGCGGCAGTTCATAATTGGTCTTGTTCTTTTTTTTATCGTTTCCTGAATAAGTTCCCTAATTTTCTCGATGTTCTTCACACTTTATCTGTAACACTTGACCATAGCCAAATTGTAATTACGATATCCAATCATACTCATGAATAAGCGGTGTAAGGACTGAAGCCTCTATCCGTCAATATTGAGTGTGTCAACGGACGGTGCGATATTTATAGCGAATCGATGGCCTGTATCGCCTCTATAAGCGCCATCGACATAATTCGTCCAGAATTGACGTCTCCGTATGACCGCATTATTAATAGCTTGTTTATTTTAATGTTTATGTAAACTGCTCCCTGTCGTAACTGACTTACGACTTCATTGTACCTTGTTGTGGTTGTCAATAATTAGTTATTACTAGAGGAAATCCAGCAAGATGTTTTGCCTTGAGCGCTACTTAGTCAATGAACCTTCACGTATATACGGGTATACTGTATGTCAAACATGTGCCAATAAATATATAGCACGTTCAGAGTTACTTTAATATAATTTCTTTATTCGACAAATACAAACGGACTTTATTGATTTTATGCTTTTCAGGTTCAAAACTAGCTAAACAAAGTGTCGACAAGCTTTGACATATATTGAGATTAAAGACTGATCAATCATAGACCACGCGAACAAATAGTCACAAAAGGGGCGAATGGCATGAATGACGAGCCAATTATGTACTGAATGAGGTTCCTAAAATTATTGAATTGAAGAATTAAAATTTATACGTTACACGATTATTACGTGTCTACCAAGGGTCAACCAAAAATGACATGAGTTTGTCTTTCCGATATACCTAAACGGCTTTTCTTTCGTTGCAAACAGAATGAAATGCTGTGATTATCTTAATATATATAAATAATTTAATATAAATTTAAATAGTCAAAAAAAAATCATTTTCAAAATAATGCAGGTTGTTTTTTTTATTTATAATTTTTTATTAATATTTTGTTTTGCTTAGAGATGTAAATGCCCATTTATGTGCAAAATGATTCACGTTCGAACATTATGGCGTACTTTTGTCGCGTATTCCTTGAATGTAGTACATTGAATCACTGATTAATTGTTTGATATGACGCTGTTCACTTCCCAAGAAGTATGAATAAATAAATTTTTTTATCCCTGCGTCTTAGTGCCTAAAGAAATAAAAAAAAAGTTACATAGTTTGTAAATTCTATTGTAAGATGTTATTGTTTAATTGCTGCTTTTTCTGACATCCCCTATGCATACAATAATTACAATTAGGGTTGGGCTATTGAGCCAGATATCAAACTTTTTAGATGACGTCATCAGTTTTTTGAAGTTGATGGAAAGATATATTGTGGTCTACATCCTTATGATGATGTTAATTACCTTAAATTTACGAAGATTGGCAGAAATCCTATTCTGAAATGTTAAAAAAGCATGACATTACATATTCGTCAAAATGGTGGTTACAGTGTTTCTTTTAACAGCCGCTGGGGAAGCTGAAAGATGTTTGTAGTAGTTGAAAATGGTAAGGCAAGAATGCTAACATTTTTGCTTGCTATTTTACGTGTATTAAACTCTATTTTTATCGTAGAACTCTGCGGTAGGTGACCTCTAAAAAAAAGCCAAATGGTGCAGAGTGAAACTTCCACCGTTTTGTGAGTTATGTCACAACAAACTATTGTGACGTCAATTAAAAATTAGATTAGACACAAAGCATAATTTAGAAGCGTACACATCTGAAATTCCTTAACTTGGAAAGTGCAAACATTACAGCCTCGGCATTCTTAAGCAAAAATTAATATCATTTATTGTTTTGCAGAAAGTCGACTAAATTTTTGAGCTACATATTGAAAGTTTTCAAACGTCAAAATAAACCAGGTGTCTAAATATATCATATCTGAAGCAAACATTACACACTACCGAACAAACTTCAGCCATAAATCTGCAGAGATCATAAAATATTTTCGTCTCAAAAAATAACGTATGTAGCGTTTTAATTGTTCAAATTTGATAAGCGAAAAAAATACGACTACGGGAGTTAATTCTCCATATTAAAAGCAGTAGAACATGTAACAGTAACAAAAACAAATTTTCGAGTAACACATACATCAGGTACAATTTATTTTGATAAACTGACATTTGTAGTATAAACTGGTACACATAAATTGAATTAAATTTGTATAACAACACTGTACTTTTATTCAGTGGGCAATTAAAAAATCAAGATTCGACTAGTAAAACTTCCCGCTATGAAAATAAACGAATTTAATTTTGACTTAGAATTCGTAACTGTACATATTGTAGCTGACCAAATAATACTTTCCAGTTTTAATAATGACTTTTTAACGCAATCAAAGCCAATGTGCAGTTATTTTTTATCCTAAGGAAAAAATAAAAAATGAAAAATTATTTATGTCAAGTATACCAAGTACTTATTGTAAACGTAAGCCAAATAACAACAATTATTTTGTCTGATAATAACTTTAATCTACAAAGTAAACATTGTTTGCGCATACTTTCATTTGCAATTTTCAAATCTTGCAAACATCATTGTTTTAAACTTAAAAAGTTTTTTAAGTTTTTAGCAAACTTAATTCTAGTTGTAATGAAAATGATGTACGTATTCCAAAATTTATTTTTATTCGTGCCAAGTATTGAAACCATTAGTCCAGATATACATACAGAATTATTGTTTCAATGTTGGTCAATCAACTTCCAAAATATACAGTCTATAAGGGTATACGTGTAGGGTGCCCTGAAAAAAAGAAAGCAGAAGTTGCCAAAAATACGTTATCTGTGCGATATATAAGTTTTTCTTTCCACCAAGTAACCAACAACATTCTGAGTTGGTGGAATATTTCCGAGATTTATATTGCTTGTTGATTGACGAACGTTCGTAGTGTTGCTCGACTAAAACGTTTAGGAGAATATAAAATTATTAATGTATGTATTTCAGGCCGGAGTGCTAGAAATGACATGGGTAGTCAGCGATTTCACAGCTACTTGTTCTCAAGAACTGAGTGTGACGAAGGGCCAACAGGTTGAAGTGGTGGAAGTGTGTTCATCGAAGCCAGATTATTGTTTAGTTCGTATGCCTACTCGTGGTACAGATCATGATTCGTCTGTTCCTGAAGGGCTCGTGCCGCTAGCCGTTCTCAAACAACCACCAGCTCCAAGAAGTTCACCTTCGAGACGTGCTCCCGCAGATCACGAACTCGGTGAGTAAAAAGCTAAATTCTGTGTTATAGAAGTTCATATTTATAGCGAACTCCACCATTGATAACTCAAATTACTAAACACAAAGGCAGTTCTCAGTAGTTTAAAGGAACGGTGGCAATTTCCTTTCCATTATTTTACCGTTTGTTAATAAAATCTGATATAAATACAATGCGACTTCCACTCCACCATTATAATTGATGGCGCTTTATTAGTGGTTAGGAAGTACATTCAATTTACTCCAAGTGACACTTGTAATTTGACTCATAAAATGGTAAAATAACAATAACAGTTATTTCTAAAATACATTTTCATCATACTATATTTGTAAATAGGTCATTGTTGTGCCGGCATTAAGTGCAGTTTGCCATAGACAGCAATAAGTAATATTATTAGTATTGCATCTTGCGAAGAAGGACGAAAAAATAGTACTGAAACTTTTAATACATAAATCACCTTACCCAGTTTTATCAATTTTTAAAAATTGAAATTAAAAAATTGTTGAAATGGACGTTTTTAAAATTCTTCTGATGACGTGACGAACGCCATCATTTTTATTCTAAAACTGATTCCTCTAACATCGCCAACAATTTATTGTCAGCGTCTCCAGTCGTAATATATACCGATTTTCTACATTTGCATGCGACAGAAACATCAAATATCAAAATAAGTTCAAGACAGGTGTCTTTAAAATTTGTTTGCGTGTACTTACAGAAGAAGCTTGCCTTAATCGAAAAATAATTGTTATCTGGAGCCTTGAACAGAGCTTATTAAATCGGTGTTTCATTATCTCTTGGTTTTTACTTCCCGAGCGTAAGCTAAGGAAGTATGGTAATAGGGTCCATCCAACTGGTCACTTTCATGTTTTCTCGACCCATATAGTAAGAAAAAAATAGATCTCCCTTTTCCGCCTTCTGTCATTTTTATTAAACAGACAATCGCGGAAACTACTGTTGCTTTAACTTACAGGAGTTATCATATAAATTCGCAAAATTAAATTTTATAATTTAAAGGAATGTTCGTTGCAATAACCCTTGACCAATTTTTTAGACTTCTAATCTTGCTTCATGGTTAAACAAGATAATAGTTGCTAATGTGAATAATTGAATAATTTGACCACTTGCTGGTATCGTCCCCACTACGGAAAAATATGCGACACTGCGTTTTCTTTGATGACATCACTTACAATCCTTCACATTCTTCTATTGTACTATTTCATAGATCTTACGATACACAGTTTCATAAACGACAGCTGACAATAATCTCAATAGGTTTTAGCTATTGCGAGAACATTGCTGCACTTCAAGATCGACATTTCCACGTATTTCCATTGAACCCAGTCTCAGACTCTTCAAATTTACTCTTTAACTCCAGATTTTCTATTAGGTTTTAACGAAAAATGAGAATGTCCTTATCCGTATTTACAATTTCTCGAGCATAAGCTAAGGGAGTATTATAACAAGATCCATAGGATGACTGCCAAGTTTCATGTTTTCTCGACGATTCATGACCCCTAAAGTACAAAAAATAGGTTTTCCGTTTCCGTCTGCCTTTTGTCGTCTGTGTCGATTTTTATTAGACAGAAATCTCTGAAACTTATAACTTATACGTTAAAATAAAAAATTTTTGTGGAATAACCTATATAAGCACTTCTAAAAGATATTAATGCAATGATAAAAAGTAAAAATATGACCTCATGAACTAATTGATTGGCGATTTACCATGCTTGTGATAACGTTTGCAACATTTCATAGCATTTGGTTTTGTTAAAACGGCATTATCCAATTTTGTTCCTCTTTATTCCAGAAATCTATACCTTGAGTCAAAAAAATCAAGACGGATTCATAGACGACAAGTATAGGAGTATGTTATTGTAAAAATTTAAGTAACATTTACTGTGCAAAATTTTGAAGTGATGTCATCTATTGTTAGTGGGGATGGTCGGCACAAAATAATTAGTCCAGTAGTTTCGGATATTATCTGTGTAATAAAAAATCACTAGCAGATCACAGAAAACATAAAAGTCATATGGACTCTATGACAGTACTTCCCCAGTTTACGCTGGAGAAGTAGTAGCTTACACTTGTAAATTATAAAAATATTTTTCTGAGCTGTTGACAAAATCGGTATACTAAATTAGGCGACCTTATTATGTTTAAACTGGCAAGATCGTATTGTTTTGTATATGGATTTAGATCATTATAAAAATCCTTTACAACAAGAAACCGAAGAAATTTGAATTTTTGCTGACAACTAATCGTAATTATCATGAAAATCCTAATGATTGAACCACTTTACTAGCAGCTTATTCGCAAATTCGGACACTGGAAGCACAAACGAAGAGAAAAATATTTTCAACCATGAGGCCACCTTGTTTATAAATGGTAAGATTAACAGTGGTACTAGTCAGACGAAAATCCTGTCTAAATTTGTTAGAAACATTCGTCGATCCTTCCAAAGGAATCCTACAATGAAATTGTGTTTACACCAAGACGATGCTCCTCCGCACTATGCCAGACGAGTCCCAGTCCCTAAATAACCAATACAAGAACATATGGATAGACTGCTGGAGTAATGAATGGCCTGCTTGCTCGCCAAATTTGATACATAAATTTTTTCCTTCTCTTTACAAAAGTTCAAGAAATTCTTCCTAAGTTTTTTTATGAAGTACGCTTATCGTTAGATCTTGTAAGTAGGGCACAGTTTACTTTAATATTAATTAATGGCATTATTGTTATTATTTATATTGCTAAACAATAACTATTGGTCAACTTCACATGAATGAAGTATTCTCGCCCAGGCATGTGCACGAATTCATGGAACAGAACTGGGATGAAGTATTCATGTTTTGCTAGTATGTCTCACTGTAATATACATATATATTTATTGAAATATGGAAACTTTCTCGAATCTGTGTAGAAATACATATATTAACCTAAAACTATAGTTTACTAGAAAAAAAACGCCATACAGTCAGTACAGTGTGTAGTGTTGTGTTGGTCTTATAACAATTCAGCAGTGTCAGAACCACGCGTGCTTCGAATTCCATACAAAATTGTTTTCTATTAAATATGATACTTTCAATTCATTATTTGGTATTTGACAATTTTTTACAAATAATGTAATTACCAAGTGACGATTGTATTAAACAAAGAAATTGTTTAACGGAAAATGTTAACGTTAAAATTTTTTAAATAGTGACTTCGTGTTCGTTGTACAGTACATATTTCTAGATACCACTGATAAAAACTTGCTCCTTCACTTGTGATTCTAGTACCGAAATTAAAAAAAGTAATGCGTACCACACGTAACGTATATATTTCGGTTATTGTTTTAAAAGTACTTATTTTTGAAACATTACAATTGTTTTCTCCGTTAGATAACGAAACGAAATTTTTTTTAGTTTTTTAATTAATTTTCTACTGTACGTTACTTTTTGTTCATTTTTGTAATGTGCGTATCTTGCGTAATCGCCACTACTAACCTGACAAATCTAAACCACGTGAGTACGCTGTGCTTAGAACATCGCGGCGGTGGTGGTGGCGTCGTCGCCAGGGATCAATAGATTGGCCGTTGTCGACCTTGACCCGACCTTCCGCAGCATCCGCTCCTTCCCCCTGAACAGCAAACCAACCCGGTCTTGCCAAAACTTTACTGCAAGCCAAAGTATTGCTTTTTCGAACCCCAGGGAAATTTTTAAATATACAAGAGTTCCTACTTCTGAATGAACTATTTTAAAATCAAATTTCTAATACATCGCGTAAGATCATTAATGAATATCGAACTTGGTATTAAATTTAGGTCACACATGTAGGTAGGTTTCTGTTATTCAGTCACCTACAATAAAGAGAATGTGGCTTATTTTTATAATGAGTAGGCAATTTTGAAATACGCACAATTAAAACCTATCTTCTTTTAATTAATGTTATTTTTATTTGTCCGTTAGCTATTTAGGTTTTTGTAACCATGTAATAGTCAGCTGATTTGTGTCAATTTTTATAAATCAGCTAATAACACTAAATTTAATCTAAAGATCTAGGACCTTTCTAAACCATTGTTAATGTTCGACGCTAGTTTTTTGTAGCTGTGTTTAAGTAAGTCATTTAGTAAACAATAAATCGTAATATCTAAAATTACGAAGAAAAACTGTGATTACATGAAAATAATTTCCTATGACGTTATTTCATCCATTGTGATCTGTAGAAAATGAGACTCAATCACTTGTTCTGTAGTATTGCTTTAACTTTTGTCATTAAAATCGATGCCTCACTTTAATCACAACTCGATAGATGTACTCGCCTGAACATCAGGAAACAGTTTGATGAAGAAAAACATAGAAACTGCCTGCAGAACAATAACACTGACTTCATTTCAACAATATTTTAACAATTCAAGCGATCACTTAAACTAAGTCAGCTAACCTTTCAACGACGAGATTTGGCTCTTTACTTAATTAACAAATATCAGTTTAATGCAAAATAAATTTTCGCACTGGTTTCTATTTAAACAGTGATGTAATTCAATCAAAACTGATTCGAACTGAAATGCCTACTTGGTATACGTTTTCAATCGCTTTACGATGTGCGATCAAAAAGTTTTCGGGTTAGAATGTGTTTTTTTTTTCTTTCTTTTTAATAGCCTTATTTATACGGACTAAATGTAGATTTTTGTAGATGGACTGTTTGTTTTTATGGTATTGCAATAGACATGCTAAGAAAAAGTACAGAAATTCGTTTATCGCACACAGTGTTGTTATTATTAATTAATATTTGGTTGCAAATTTAGACTTACTTTTTAAACTAATGCTCAACTAAATGCAATATATGACGCATATATAAATTAAGCTATCGCCTTCAAGCTAAAAACATTGGCGTTTACAAATTCTCTACCCGTTCTCAAGGTATAAAGGTGGCAAAATTATTTTTACCCTACAAAGTGTTCTCTTTTTAAGGCGTAACACACAGTTGTTTTCAACTGGAATATATTTTTATGTATGTATTCC